TTTCAGTGAATTTTTAAAGAACAATTTTCTTTTAAGTTTCAAGACAATTTGAAGCTTCAACATACATACAACGTACTAAAATGCGTTACACACCACAAAATTGATAAATAGGCCTGAAATTAAATTCTATCTTGTTATTGATTATACGTTGCCTAGCACGTGACTTAAATCTTCCCAGGCGAAGATCCAAAATGACGGTGGCAGGCTTGGCTTAGTTATATCACTCAAAACTCGTTCCCGTTTGTCTCATTTGATAAAGAGGGAATCGTTAATGTTTTCATTAAGACAGTATTGCTTTGATTTTCTAATATTTACAACGAAAGACAGTAAATTTCACTTTTCACCCACATTTACTTCCAACCTTTTCTTTTCAATTCACGAGTTTGCTCACAGAGCACTTTGATTGATATTTGCAGCTGTGTATTGGCTTACTGCAGTGATGTGATTATACCATCCTTGGGGAACTAAGATCGTTTCACTGTCGCGTCTGTTGTTTTCAATAGAGTTTCCATATAAGCTCTCTAATGGTAGGTGTCTTGTTTGTCAGCTTACCAGAGTTCCACTGAATTTCATGTTGATTTGTTTGAAGATAGAACAAGCAAAATTGTTCAGGGGTGCAATCATGGTGTCGGTAATATCAGCAGTCTTCGCCAAGTTATTATTATCAGTCATACTCGATTGCAATTCCACATAACTTAAATTCAAATCCAGAAAATCCCCATGAGCATCTAATTGAAAATCCGTGGACATTATTGTTTCTTCTTTCTTCATTTGGTGCATTTCATCAACCACTTGACAGTTTTAGGTTCTCTAAAGGTTCATCCTCCTTTTTGTACCTTGCTCAGGTCCCATAATATTAATTCTCAATGAAAAAAATCCTGTCAGTTGTTGATCATAATGCTGATCACATTTTATGGTCTCTTACAAAGATACGGAGCACTGTAAGTGCCATACACGTGTGTCTACAGCATCATATTTTGGCGCACACTTTCTTACCTGTGGCGCGATTTTTTTTTTGCTGGCACGACTTTTTTGCTGGTGTGAATTTTTTTTCTGCTGGCGCAACTTTTTTTTGCTGGTGCGACTTTTTGTTGCTGGTGCTACTTTTTTTTGCCAGCGCGACCTTTTTTCGCTCGCGCGACCTTTTTTTTCCTGGCGCGACTGTTTCCACTAGCGCTTATTTGTAGACCGCTGGTAGTTTTATTGCGGGCTCAAAGTACGAACATGTGTAGTTGTGAGCAAGATGGCTAATTCGTCTGATTCCGATCTTGAGAAGGTAAGTAGTATTTAATTTAGTTTTGAATACTGCCGTATTCGTAAACGAATTGAGAAAATGAATAGAGGGAATGCAGCTAGTTTTATTGTGTAATTTATCCGTCGAAAAACAAAAAACCAGGCTATGAAAACCACAACAGGCAGAACAAGCCTGATTCTTACTTTACTTTACACCGAAAAGAGATTTCAAGTATAGCTATACTCTTAATAAATATCTAGTCCTAAATTTAAGTCAAAAATTAAGAAAAAATGTTTTTCAAGAACAAGTCTCAACCGTGTTATCATTTATTGGCACTAGGTCTTTTCAACCTTCTGGGAGGAACCATAGTCCTAAATCACTTATCATTCAAGTAAATCAACATGGCGGATAACGACCTTTGTAATCATATGATTGAAGAATATTTCCATTTGGGCTTCAACAATAAGGAAATCATTGATTGCCTCTTTTTAAATTATGAAATACTTCTAAGTCTACGACAGCTTAGAAGAATCTTAGCGAAAAAAAATCTCGGAAGACGACGTTTCAGCAACCTTGATAAGATGGCAGACGCCATGGAAGAGGAGCTAAAAGGAACTGGAAGCATTGTTGGATACAGATCTATGTAGCAGAGATTAGTGGTTGACCATAAATTGTCTGTTAGCAAAGAATTTGTTAGGAATGCATTAAGAACAATGGACCCTGAAGGGGTACAAAGGCGCTCAAGGCATAGACTCCAAATGCAACAGTATCATACAAAGGGCCCAAATTTTATTTGGAAACTGGACGGATATGATAAACTGAAACCTTACGGGTTTTGTATACATGGTTGCATTGACGGATATTCGATTTGGATGATTGGGATGAAGAGGAATGTAAAGTCGAGTTGAGATTCGACAAATCTGACCTTGCTGTCCAGCTCCATGCATTGAGATTTCCCGATAGATTTGTT